CACTGACCTGCTGTAGCTGTGCAAGTGTGTGTGTGCGTGTGTGTGTGTGTGTGTGTGTGTGCGTGTGTGTGTGTGCGTGTGTGTGTGTGTGTGCGTGCGTGCGTGTGTGTGTGTGCGTGTGTGAGAGAAACACTTCAATAAGGAAAGGATTACACTGGACTGGCCAGCTGACTTGCAGTACTGCAATACAAGCCCCGACCCTCAGCCCCCAACACAGGGATTACACCTGCATACCCCCCCCTCCCCATCTATCACCCATTACTGTCTGGCAAGGTCATGGTCATGCACCTTCTCACACTGAGACACTCTGCAGACCTGTGAGCCTAACAACGAAATTAAGAAAAACAAGATCATTTAAATTTTGTGATTAATTTCAGGACATATCAACACTTCCTTAAAAGCCTTTTACACAAAGCAGCTGCCAGGATTCATGTCATAATTCATACATGAAAAATACTGGTGCAAAGGGGAAAAAAACGGGTCCTTGTCAAGATCGATCATGTGACTTTAAGAACAAACTGCGAAGAAAACGGCCCTTCAGTGGCAGGCTGGCTGCTGCAGGGACGAGTCCGTCACAGAGGGGGATGCAGGCGCTGACCTAACCTTAATCCCGTCATGCCATATGTCTGAAAGCCAGGGGGCGGCAGTTACAGGTGGAGTCAGAGTGTAGCACAACCAGGCCTGGGCACTGGAATACAGCAGGGTATAGGATTGAATCCCAAAAAGGCACATGACCCTGTGTCACCCTCCTTTCTAAGTTACCTGGATGCTGACCTTTGCTGTGAAATAAAGCTGATTGATCATTTTAGACCCGCGGCCCCCGGCCCCCCAGGTCCTTACCAGAGAAGTTACGGGAGACCAGCATGGTGGTGAGAATGGCACCCTGTGGAAAAGGGAACAACGTCATGGTCACATGGTTCCTTTGCCCCCCCCCATGCTGATTGACACAGCTTTGATTAACACCACATTCCCACATCCAGCGCGTCCTTATAGCGCCTCCCCCTGGTTGGCGCGCTCCCTCTGTTCGGCCCTCGCAGACCTACAGCTTCAACGCGCTGACTGCCCGTAAGCCAAGCAATCACTACTCCTGTTACAATGCAGATTATTCAGAAACATTTCCTAAGTTATATTACAGATCTATTCTGCATTGTTTGCTATCTGTCCTAGAATCTGATTTTTGTGTTTATTCTGTGTAGTGTACTATTTCTATGCTGTTGCCTTATTCTGTCTGTCACTGTCACTTGTAGCAAAGCTGTACCAACAAAAATGTCCTCAGTTGTGTCGCAATATAGATTCTGTTCTATTCTATTACATATATATTTATTTAGATATATTTTTATTTGTAACCATTTTATTTATATATATTTCATCTTTATTGGCTACTGGTCAGTCTTTGAAAGGACCTGGAACCTAACAATAATAATAATAATGCAGTAAAATGACAAACTCCAGTTCTTCAAGTCCAGAGCTTATAGTACTAATGCGCAGAAGGACATTACCTGCAAATCATGCAGGTTATTTCCGAGGATTCCCTTATTAAACCTTATAGCTTAAATAACATCCATCTGACATTCCTCAATTTTGCATTTCATGTCGGGATTTCTGAATTCTGTGCAGTCTGGTCCCATGAATGCTGCTCACACAGACATGCATCACAGCCGCACAGATATTTCATCTGTTATTTGACTTGATTTAAACTGAAAGCCCCTAATGGCGAACAGCATCCTACATGCTGAATGGGAGAGCGCCCCTAGAGGCCAGTCCGGCTACTGCAGAGTGTGAGGGGAGGCGCTGACAGACCTTGAGTTTCCTCCTGGCATTGAATTTCTTCAGACACTCGACGGTCTCCTGTCTGTGCATCATGGAGGCTACTGTGGACCGTTGCTGTGTTTTTGAGAAAGTTAGATTAGAGAGAGAGAGAGAGAGAGAGAGAGTGAGTGATAATGAGAGAGGGTGAGAGAAACTCAAACCGCAGAGTGACAGATGTGGGTGTGCTTGTGTCTCATGGCAGCACTTCATGTGCGTACTTGTGATACTGGTGTGCATGTGTTTATGTGACAGTAAATGTCAGCACACAATAATGCACTTTGTGTGTTTATATGCAACTGTGACACGGCTGTGAGTTTTCAAACTAATATGGCATGGGGGCGGAGTCAGGCTAGGTGGGCCGTCCACAATGCCCCGCCCCCCAGATAGGGGAGGGACACTCACGCAGACCCACGGGTGCTTGAGGGCTTCCTGGGCCGTAATCCTTTTGGCCGGGTTAATGGTCAGCATCTGGTTGATCAGGTTCTTGGCCTCAGGGGTGACTGTGTCCCACTCAGGAGAAGGGAACTGCAACAGGAAGGGAGGAAGGGGCGGGGCAAGGGCAGGAGGAAGGGGAGGAATTAGGGTCTAGATAATAGTTAGATAATCTCTCTAAATATCTTAATAATTTCTCTAAAAAATAGACTAGATTCGGTATTAATGTTATTCCACTGCATTTTACAAAAAGCTGTGATTCAACAGTGCGGGAGTCAGTACAAGGATTCAATACGAAAAACCCATATGGTTAATTAGCCTGCAATTAGACATCTAAAGCTAAAGCCAGGTGTTGTGTTCAAATAAGAGCCAGCTGGCACACAGAGCCCTCCAAGTAAACACGTGTCCAGCATCCTCATCAAACGCAGAACAAATACCGACGATCTGCCCCCTCCCCTTTAACGGTCCCACTTTAAACTCATTAAACCAACATGTCATCATGGAAAGTAACTGGAAATGTCGACAAAACAAATGAAATACATATTAGTTATAAATGTGCATAAATAAATGTCAACACAATTCTTAGAGAAAGGTGTTAAATGTAGCCAGTTTTCCCACAGTAATCTACATGAATATTTACTGGGCGACACACTTCCACAAACTCAGATTCAGAAGAGCATTACATAAGCCGACAGCAGTACACACCCGTAGGGATCTTTAGTAAGGAGAACGTGGGGATGTGTGAGAGAGAGAGAGGTGCTATGGGACGGAAAACAAAGGCATGACTGACAGAGATTGAGTGAAAGACGGCGAGAGTGAGAAAGGGAGTGTGAAACGGCCGAGGAGACGAGCACGGTCACACTCACGTCATAAGCTCCGGCCTTGATCTGCTGGTACAGCTTGTGCTGGTCCTCGTCCCAGAAGGGCGGGTAGCCCACTAGCAGTATGTAGAGGATTACACCTGGCCCACGAGTGCAGAGACTCCATCATAATGCAGCACTTTGCTTTTGCCCAACATGCAACGTTTCCTCTTTTATCCGTGTGTCTAACCTATGCATCTAGTGTCATCACAACAATTTACAGAATTATACCAATATTATTATTATTAGCAAATTCCATATTTGCATGCGGATCCACATCCAGCTTGTCTTGACTTTTAATTCATTATGATACAATTATTCCAACGATGATATTTAGACCGGTGGCGGCAAGAATGCTTTGAAAATGGACTGAAAATTGATCTGGATTTCCCAGCTCGAGGTCACAGGGCAATCGCCTGCTGCTGATGTTCAACCCTGAATCACCGCTGGGTGAATAATTATATTTCAGGCCCAAATGATGCTGTGAGAACTGCTACCTTCTGACAGGATGATCAATATATGAGAGCATAAGAGCTGCTTTTTGCATGTGTGTTTGCCCCGATTGTGGCATCTTCTGTAGACGCTGTATCTGTGTGGGTCGATTCCCCTGTAAGTACCCACAGTCGTGTCTGTCTGAGTGATTCTCTGAGTGTCTTAGGTAAGGACCTATGTGGTTGCTGTTTGTGTCTGAGACTCACCACACGCCCATATGTCTACCGGCTTGCCGTAGGCCTCCTTCCTCAGCACCTCGGGGGACAGGTAGCCGGGGGTTCCCGCAAACCCTGCACATCAGCACATGCCGACTGATCACAGTTCGGCCAATCGCAGCTCAGCCAATCACAGCTCAGCTTATTACAGCACTGAGATGTTCCTAGTGAGTGCCTTCCTGTCCTCTATCACAGTGATTCTCAACCCATGGCTCGCAACCAAAATTTGGGTCGCAGTGAATCCTGAAAGGATCGCAAGGCAGAGTTGGAAATGTAAGAATTTTAAAACCAGCAAGCTCCTATGCTGATCCACGATCAGATTTCCCAGCCCCAATCCTAGAATTAGCCTATATAAACGGGTCTTGGGTCTGCAAATCCATGAAGCCAAACGGTTCATTTTAAAATTCACAGGCACATCCAATCAGATTTGAGCGACAGGCATTGATGGGTGTAAATCGCAGAGTGCACTATGTGCTTGACCATAGCGTTAATTTAGATCTATACTTGATATAGGGTCGCGACTGAGCTGGCAAAAATTGGGTCACGGTGCCAAAGAGGTTGAGAACCACTGCTCTATCATTCCAAATCCAAAACAATAAAACATTTTGGCACTTGTGAAAGCCTTAATATTTTGTTGCCTGGGTGAAGCAGTTATCAAAACAGTCAGATTTGACAAATGTTTTTGTCTCGTTTCACTGAAGCTGTTCACTTACAGGAGATGGCAACCTTGGTGCCGGAAGGCTCCGTGGCGAACTGGCGTGCCACCTGCTGTCCCTGCTGTGTCAGCTACAACCAGCCTCTGTGGCCTTTAATCTGCGCTACGTGGTAGCTGAGCAACGCTTGCTGTTCCTCTTATGCTGTGTCTACTACACACCCAGCCTGAGTGTCACAACCTGGGAGCCTAGCCATGCATAAAGAGGGGCCTGTTGCTGTCATCACAGCGATATGGTAAACTGGGTGTAATCATATTTGTACATGGAGAGGGAGGCATGAAGCACTCCAGGAAGGCAGAAACCACATCAGCAAATGTGAGAGAGACTGCCAATACAATGCTAATATGCCATACGCTAAATATTAGCCATAGCAGCTAATTAGCGTTCTGGGAGCGTGGGGTACCGCTAGCAGTAAGCCCTCCCCTTGGGGGATCATAACCTTGACCGCGACCCTGACCCAGGTGGAGAGCTGCGAATGAGGCTGAAGGTGGAGGCGGGCCGGGGGAGCGGCGCACGTACCGAACCAGGCCTGCTGGTCGCCTTGGACCTCGATGGCCAGCCCGAAGTCGGCCAGTTTGACGGCAGCGTTCTTACACTTACTGGCCAGGAGCAGGTTCTCTGGCTGAGGGGAGGAGGGGTAGGGGAACACTCAGATTATCATGAAGTGGATTATCATGCGGTACACATACCCCCCCCCACACACACACACACACACATCAAACACAGATCTAGTGACACGAATATGCTAATTCTTAAATATACGTAACAAAGCAGAATTAGCACACTTCACACTACGCCTTCATCAGGACCGGCCACACGTCAGCCAATCGGGTGACACTAGGGGGCGGAGCTCCCTCCAGCCTTGGGATGGTGACACACGCTTTGGTGTGAGGGTTCCGTGTTCAGCTGCGTGGTTCTGCATCTGCAGCCCTAGCGTGGGCGGGGGGGGGCGGGGCTGTCCTACATTAGGGACCCTCATTAATCTGCACTGGCGACAGTGTGTAATTGTGCTATCCCCACTGCAGGCCTGCCGCCGTCTCGGGGCCTGCTGCTCCGTGCCGCCGAGCGCACTGCACTGCCTGCCATGTTATTTATATCCCCCAGTGCGAAAGCACGCCTTGCAGCTGGGGGGGGCGGGGGCCTGCGTGCTGACCCCCGCCTCCGCTGATGTGGCTGGTGGTCCCCTGTATGCCAGATACTCCTGTCACTGCCATCTGTCTTTCTCTCCTTCCCAGCTCCTCTCGCTCCCTCCTTCCTCTCCTTCTCAGCACATCCCTCTTTCCTGACATACGCTGGCTCTGAATGGCTTGAACGAACCTGTTCCATAACCGGGCCGAACAGAACACTATGAGGGCTGAAGACCCTGTGGGTTGCACTCCTATACGGAACCGGGCCTAGCAGTACTAAAGCCATCCAGAATCACCTTCCTACACAGAACTGGGCCTTGCTCCTGTACCAAATCCCCTCTGGGCCGCGTTCCTGTACAGAAACAGGTCACATTCCCTTGCAGTTCCACCCTATTTAGTGTTCAGTGTTCCCAGGCTACATAAACCGACAGCCTCAGCAAACACATATCACAGAAGCAAAATGCCGTGTTAACACACAGGGAGCAGTCACAGCCTGCCCACGTCTCTGACAGTCTCAGACATTTTAGGGGACTCTACTTACTGGGTTCTAGAGTTTTCATTTAAAATTAACCACCAACTAACCATACATGACATTCATTCCCTGACTATTCACTAATCACAGGACATCACATTAACTCCAACCTCCCTCCACAATCCTAAAGACAAGACACGTGAAACAAAAAGCTGACAAAGACCCAAACATTTTGGTACTTTTTGTTTGGAGGGATTTCACCTCACAAAGACACCCCCACAAGGTTTACCTTTCAGAAGACAGACAAGGACAGTAATCCCTGTTAGAATAATGTGAATCCACACACACACACACACACACACACACATACACACACAATCAGCTCCGCGCAGTGACACAAGTAAAGGAGGTTACACTCACGCTGCCCCACTGGAACTGAGACTAGCTGTGAAAGTGGGTTACAGAAAGAGGGAGTGTGCGGGTGGGGGGGGGCAGCGTGGGCGTTCTGAGACAAAAATCAATCCCATCTCCCTCTGTCAGTCTGCTCGAAGACTGACAGACTCATGTGCACGCAGGGAACACGCAACACGGAACACGTGGTAACAGAGGGAGGCCAGTAGCCACACTGTCCACAGGGTCTCACAATCAAAGATGATGAAGCAGCATTTTCTGTATAACACTCAAGAAGCTGACAATATAATTATCCTCAAATGCCATTACGAGTCAAATCTCGAGCGATAAAAATCACAACCTAATCTTAAATCTATACTGATGTAAATCCCTGTACTTAACCAAAACATTGACCAGTCATTCAGTGCTTAAATGTATATGAAACCTTTGTGATCAGAACCACACCGCTACTGGGAGACTGGTGCTCAGGGTACGGTCGGATGTATTTCCCAGCTTGACCCTGGAATGATGCACTCAGGCCCCGGTCAAAACTGACGAGAATAAACAGCACAGCATAGCTTAGCATAACACCGTGAGGTGACGTTCACTATTAAGTGTGAACCAAGAGCTCTGAGGAGACAAGTCTGAATGGGAACCCACCCGAGCCATATTGACCGGCCGGTCCCACTACGCTACATGTCTATGCTATTTCTGATTACATTTTTGATTTAATTCTATAAAAAATAGACAGTGGTAAAACTGAATTCTGCCTGGCATCAAAAGATAACATGAACCTTTACATATTCTTCAAGCAAGCCTCCCCAGGTAAAGTGTAGCCCAATGTTTACAGGGCTTGTGCCTGGCAGATGGCTAACATTATAATGTGCCGTTTAACTCAAGGGAGACGCTTCTCATACAGCATCAGGAGGGGGAAACAAAACACTGAGAGTCCGAAAGATGTCAGCTGATCTTCAGAGTCTTCAACGGTGACTCATGCAGTACACATGCACATGCAAGAAGGTACAGTAGCAAGTCATTCGGATCAGACTCTGCGAAGGGCGCTAGCCAGTGATGTTTTTACGGGTGGTCTGCTTCCAGGTTCTGTTCTGTTCTAGGTGAACCGATGAGTCGCCGCTTGCTAAGGTGTCTCCTTAAACCGGGTCACCTTCAAAGCAAGGAATGAGTTCCCCTTGATCAAATGTCACATCGCAAAAAACAAGGTTGCGTGTATAAAAGGAAACAGAAGCCACTTCATTGCTGCTAATCCAAAAGTCATCCTTCATCATTCAGCCATAAGCATGCGCATGTTAAACGGCTGCATCGCGTGACCTGTCCAGACTTTTCAAAGACTGCAGCCAGAAGTGCTATTGCAACACAAACAAAATATCAACACAAATGATATGGAAATGCTAACACCCTGCCATCATAATCGGTATCACGGTGCTGACAAAATGCTATCATGATCACGTCGCTGTGCTAGCACAGTGCTATCACCATGCAATCCCTGTGTTAGCGCAATGGTATGGCAATGCCATTGCCATGCTAACACAATGCTATTATGATTGCACTGCAGTGCTAACATAGCTCTAACACTATGTGCTTGGCCGATGTTACCTGGATGCTAACACAACATTATTACTGTACAATGCATGGCCTGGAGACTCACCTGTCCTGAAGAACCTGCTTCAGCTTATTACCGCAGAATGACTTAGCATGACTTAGCATGTCTAAGCGTGTCTTAGTATGTCTTGATCTCCAACGAAATAGCCAGAATTCACTCATTGAAATCAAATCCCAGAACAACAGTTTATAATCAGCCTGACGAGACCATTTATCAGACGTCAACGCTTACAGATCTACCGTTCTGGGCAGGAATCATTTAATTGCATCTCTTTGATGAGTGTTTAATGACATCATTTGCATCTTGATGACATGTAAAGCGTGACATGTGACGTCAGGTGCCTAAGAAACCCACAGTCAACGGCACAGAACAAGATTTTTTCAAGTTTTGCAAATTTAAAAGGATAAGTCCCTAATTTGATAACACTTAAAGTTTTTCAGTGTTAGACACAAATTCATACATATTTGAAGACCCCGACAGGACAGGAGAGATGACAGGAGTGCTGTCTAAAGGGTCTCTGAGAGTCGACATCAACTACACGGTGCTTAGTAATAATAATAGTAATAGTAATAATAATAATAATATACATACAGACTCACCAACAAATACAAATAGCAGACATATACAGCAATGCACGAAACATCACCGACAGGGACCTGTCACTCACCTTCAGGTCCCGGTGCACCACGCCCATTTGGTGGCAGTGAAGCACCGCCTCCAGGATCTGCTGGATGCAATGACTGCATGCAAACACCAGGGGGCGCATGTTAGTCTGAGCAGCGTTACAGTCTCGTGCACAGGCCAGGATTTGGGGTGGGGGGTGGGGGGG